AGCTAAAGATTTTTTTGGAGTTATTCAACGTATCTACACAATTTTTGCAAATTCCACTAAAAGATGGCAAATTTTAAAAAAACATATAACGGGATTAACTCTTAAATCTTTATCATCTACTTGTTGGGAGAGTCGTGTTGATAGTGTTAAAGTTTGACGAAGACCTTGTGTGGTCTACAAATGTAATCAGTGACCACATTCCACTTGTTTTTTTGTTGCCATTGTTGTGTGTAGTGTAGTGCTGATGTGCTCGTACGTTGGGGATTCAAGCCTATATATTTATAATGGGTTGAGCCAATATTTTATTTTTTGATGCGTACTCCTTATTATCTGTCTATGTAATAACCAATAGATAATAGTGTGCCATAAGAAACAGATTAAGGGGATTAAACAATCCAGGACTAATTCAATGAACTTGTGAGATAAAACATTAGTTAGCGTGTACAACCTTTCATATGGAGTACAACTTTTCAGACCTCATTTAATGAGCCTTTGAAGGATTAGGTGGCGTGTTACTTCATTGAAGTCTAATGCATTTATTGTGTCGTACAACATATCCAAAAAGATCTCTCCAGTAAACATCACATTTCATACAATGTTTTAGAATAATGTAAAGAGATTTTTGAATATGCAGACTTCAGAAACCTAATTTTCTGCCGAATTGAATTCAACTTGACCCGTTTTTTACTTGGCACTTTGGGTAGGAAAGTACCAGCTTTTCCATGGTTGTTTGTATATAGATAGATTATTGTCATCTCAAAGCATACAAGACGTAAATGGACATACGATCACTAGCAAAAGCATGCCTATCTACGCCTTAAGCTCAACTTTGCTATGACTAAAAGAAAAACACATATTCAACTAGCACTATAATACACAATTATAAAGATGGGTTTGTGGCTGCATCAAAGAAGTGGGATAGGAGTTGGCTGAAGTTACTAATTAAGACTGTATAAGAAGATGAGGTGCAAAGGTAAGATTATTTCAAAATTACAATTAGGTGAGACTATTGTATGAAGATTGCAAAAAGGTGGGATTATTAGTTTTCATTTAAATTCTTACAGTTTTAATAACTTCACAGTTTTAATAAGGGTTTTTTACTTGAATATTACTAATTTTGAACCAATTACCAAAAAAGTTACCACTTTTAAAAAGGGGCAAAAAAGTGATCAAGAAGGTCATATATGTGGATTTAGAAAACATGATGCCACTTCAAAAATGTTATGTCAATGTGTTCGTTTTTTGTAACCAAGAGTCATCACCGTCAAATTTTTCACGCCAATTACACCGCCACCATCACCGCCACAGTGACGCCGTCATTTTCATGTCATTGTCCATTATTCATGTCACTGTCGCGTGTCACTGTCGGTATTGCTCATGTCACTGTCACCGGCCAACCACAGTGACACCGCCACAGTGACACCGCCACAATGAATGTCACTATTGCCGGAAAAGGAAAACATGTCACTGTGATCGTTTCTGCTCAATGAAATTGCCGTCGTCGACACCACGATCTATCAGTCGCCAGGACCGCCACCCCCAACCCCATACTCGAACTCACACCCGGCAGCCACCTCCATTAGTGACACCACCACCGCCTATCATGCCCCTCCCAACTAACCAGCCCCCTCCCCAACCCACCTGGCCCCCTCCCCAACCAACCAGCCCCCATCCCATCCCCCTCACCAGCCCACACAGCCCCGTCCCAACCCCCTCCCCAACCCATCAGCCCCTGCACAATCGAGCCGCAAAACCCTCCCAACCCCTGCACAATCAGCTAGATTTTTTGCAACTCTCACCATCCTGAGTTTCAAAAACCTCCCAACGGTCTCCATCGCATTACCACGTCCAATTTCGAGTTGTCATCACAGATTCTGAAATTGGGAGAAGGAGAAGAAATTTTGACATGTGCTTGCAATTCAAAATACTAGGCAGTGAATCAACGAAGAAGGTGGAGCTCATTCATCGCCGCTTGATAGAACTAGAAGAAAAGGAAGAAGGTGTAGGTAGAGGAAGGGACGGGGATTAGGGTGGCAGAGACGATCCATCTCTTCTGTCCGCAGAAGGGAGACAACGGCGGCGATAGTCATGGTAGCGGAGATGCCTGCAAGCGTCAATCTGCTCTGTACCTGGGGAAGATCGAAAGAGACGGTCTGTCTCTTCTGTTTGATCGCAGATGAGCGGAAGAAGAGACCGGGATTTAATTGTTGGTCACTTTTTTGTCAATTCCTAATTTAGTGATATTTTTGTGAGATGAAACTTGGGGAGTAATATTTAGGCCATTGTCTTTAGCCAATTCCTTAGTAAATCTTAAGAAGCACCAATTCCTATTCCCGGTGTATAAAAGTCATCCACCACAGTCAGGGCAACTCGCTAATGCCAGTTAAAATATTTAGAAACACCCAAGACTTTCTTCACCAATTTCTTTCAGGGAAACTATATATAGAAGCTCGTAAGCCTCCATAAAACTTGGTTCAAATCAACTACTATTGTCATATATATGATTTCGTGAAAAGCTTTCGATTATGACGTCCACCTCCTCATTCCAAAGCACAATTAGACAACATATGTCTCCCTCGCAAGTCACAGAAAATGCCTGATGAAGAAATATCAAACGCTTTTCGAAGAGTGACCATGGGCGGCCTTCCGTTGAAGAAATATCCCACCAGCGACCTCTTATGCCTCGCTGCAAGATTCTGAAACGTAATGGAAGGCATGCCCTTAAACCTAGCAGGGACCTTCGTTGATAATGGTGGATCAGAATTCACCACTACCGAAGCAAAAGAGCTCCCATCCCAAACCTTCTTTACCGGCGCGGGGGGCGGGGGGGGGGGGGGGGGGGCTCCACTGCAACTGATGCCGTCATAGAATAGATCACAAGAAATGCCAGAGCTAATTTTACGTGGGTTTTTTCAGTAGTTCGTCTAGGACTCAGATTTTGAAAGTTGTTAGAGATAAATATATTTTGAACTACTTGGTGACATTTTAAGAAAAATAACAATTTTTATACGAGGTGAAATATTGTTTATACATTTTTAAGTTTTTATGTTTAATGATCTTTTGTTTTTTTTTGCTAGCCTTTGTAGTCTCTCTTTATAGTATCTTTTCAAATCTTTTGTTTTTTGTTTTTGTTTTATTTTTTTTTATTTTTTTTTTGTTTTATTAATTATGATTTTATTTGAACTTTTTACTATAAATTAAACTATTTTTACCTTGTATTAATTTATGTTTCATCATACTCATAAAAAATATAAAAATAGGAAGTATCTTATTAAAATATGGTAAGAGTTAAATAAGAAGAGAGAATATAATTTTTTCCCATTTTTAGAATATTAATATATAGTCTTATGTTTACATTTTACAATTATTTTATTTCAATTTGATTTTTTTTGGATCTTTTTCCTTGAATATTACTAAACTAATTTAAAGTCAATTTCCCAAAAAAAATGTGATCATTTTTATAAAAAGACAAAAAGATGATTAAGAAGATCATATTTTTTTGCAAAAACTTGATGTCATTGAGAAATTTTTATGTCATTACGAAATTTATGTCATTGCCATATGTCATTACCAAATTTGTATGTCACTTTTGAATGTTAGTAATGCATTGTCACTGGAAAACATGTCACTGTGACCGTTTTCGAGCCAAGAAATCGCCGCCGTCAGCATCGGAGCCATTCAGCCGCCACCCCAACCCTCACACCTGCACTCAACCTGTCCCCACACCCTAAACCCAATTTGCCTACCCAGCCCCTGTTCCCACTGGTTTTATACCTCCACCTGACCTCCCACCTCCACCCCTGCCGGCCACCACCACCACTTCTCACCGCCGCGGGTAACCTGCAGCCACCCCTCTCCGGCGGTCAGCATCACCAGTCCCACCCATTGTCCCACCCATTGTCCCACCTCTAGCTCTAGCCCCATTCAACCGCTCCCCAGTCCCACCTATGACAGCCCAGCCTCATCCCATTCCCTCGGCTCCAACTGCAGATCCGAACAACCCAACCCCGATCCACCCCTCCCAGCCCTACCTCTAACAGCCCAACCCTAACTACTACCACTCGCCACTGAACCCTAGCCATCGCCCTCCGCCCGGATTTGATGCGAGGCGATGTGAGGTAACGTTGAGTCGCATCAATGCGAGCGGTCAGTGAGGCGATGTGATCAGAAGCACATCGCAGCGAAGAGGTGGCGGCCATTGTGGCGGCACAGTGGAGAGGGAGGCAGAAGATCGCAGAGGAAAAGACGCAAGGCAGACACAGGAGACACTGCGTTAGAGAAGAGAAACGTATGATGCTGATCGCTTTTTTGTCCAATCTATTCTTGGTAACATTTATGTCTCTTAAAAGCCCAAGAGTTATTTTCTTGCCATTTTTTCTTTATTTTTCTTATTATTATTTTGATTTGATTATAATTATGTTTGCTCAGAAAAGGAAGATTGTGGAAAAAAGATAAATGAACAGTCCATGAAATATGCCAAACTCTGTTTAGACAAATATTCGGAATTTAATTTAGGAATTTTATCAATTCGGGACCTGAAAGATGGATGAATTATCAATTCGGGACCTGAAAGATGAAATGTATCAATATAGGACCTGAATAATGAAAAACTATCAATCTAGGACCTAACATTTCATAGGTTTTGATGTATTTAATTTTTTGCTAACTCCATTGCTTATATTTGGTGAATTTTTCTTCACAAAAGTTTTTTAGTTTAATAAAACAAAATATTATTTATTTTTTTTAAAATGAAAAAAGTAATAAAATTTATGAAAACTTAGGTTCTAAATTGATAGTTTCCTATCATTCGGGTCCTAGATTGATAGTTTTCCATCATTCGGGTCCTATACTGATACATTTCATCTTTCGGGTCCCGGATTGATAATTCGTCTATCTTTCAGGTCCTGGATTGATAAAAATCCTTTAATTTAGTACGGGCGTACAACAATAACTGGCAGTATAGGTGCTCACAAGCTTCACACTTTCTCCAATTATTTAAAGACCAGTCTCCGTCTCCTTCCCCCATAATAAGCCATTTCCAGAGAGAAAGAGAGAGCGAAGGTGATAATGGCGAAGAACGCTTCCTCTTTCTCTAGCTTCAAGTCCTACATGGCAGCACTGTCCGACACGCCGCACCGCCTGGCCCGCCGAGCCATCTCTACATCAACTCCGTTGGAGGAGACCGGCGGCGCTCGCGCACGTTCAGGCCGTGACATGAAGAGGAGCCTCCGGTGGTACGACCTCCTCGGATTTGGCCTCGGCGGCATGGTCGGCGCCGGAGTCTTCGTCACCACCGGCCGCGCCAGTCACGTCTATGCCGGCCCTGCCGTTATCCTGTCCTACGCCATTGCCGGTCTCTGCGCGCTACTCTCCGCCTTCTGCTACACCGAGTTTGCCGTCGAGATGCCAGTCGCCGGCGGCGCATTCAGCTATATCCGCACCACATTCGGTTATTATCAAGTCCTCAATCTCTCAATTTCTTATGAACAACTCCACAAACTTACACTAACTCGATCGAATCCATTGCAGGAGAGTTCCCCGCGTTTATCACCGGAGCTAACCTAATCATCGATTACGTTCTCTCTAACGCCGCGGTGTCCAGGAGTTTCACATCGTATATATGCACAGCCGTCGGTATATCATCCGACACAAGGCTGAGAATCGCCGTCTCGGCGCTTCCGAGCGGTTACAACGAGATAGATTTTGTTGCAGTGGCGGTGGTGTTAATCCTCACCGTAGTCATCTGCTATAGGTTTATCCCAAACACATTGCGTTTTATTCTACTGATTAGTGATTATTAAGCTGAAAATTAAAATTAAATTAGTATATTCATCTCTGACCGGAAGTTCAATTCCTTCTTCCCGGTGCAGTACAAGAGGAAGTTCCATGTTGAATATGACTTTAACTGCTCTGCACATCCTGTTCATAGTGTTCGTGATTGTGATGGGGTTCACCAAGGGCGACCCGAAGAACTTGACCCACCCGGCAGATCCGAAACTGGCGGGCGGTTTTTCCCCGTTCGGTGCTGCGGGGGTTGTGAGCGGGGCTGCCATGGTGTACCTGAGCTACATCGGATATGATGCGGTGTCAACGATGGCGGAGGAGGTGAGGAATCCGGTGAAGGATATCCCGATCGGAGTATCGGGATCGGTTATGCTTGTGACCGTCCTTTATTGCCTCATGGCCGCTTCAATGTCCATGCTCCTCCCCTATGATAAGGTAATAATTTCAGTTCTATAATAAATTAAAAATAAATCCAAAAGTTCTACCCCACTCCGTATTTGAGTACCAGATTCCATTGAAGTAGGTAACCGCGTTGGAAATGGATAAGATCTACTCAGTGTGTGAATTTACGACTTTCCCCTTTTCAATACGGAGTACCACGTATTATTCATCGCAAAAGGAAATGCTACGGAACATGATGGCGTCTGACAAATTAACTCCCGCGTTTAGACGGCGCCACGAATTACGTTATGACATAATTACAATTTTAATAGGGTCTATATTTTAATTTTATGGTGACTTTTCATAATAATGATTTTTAAATGCATCAGGTAGCTGTTCGTTGTTAGATTAAATAATTAATTCATGATCTACTGTTATGTTTCTTACTTTTTTATTGGATTCACTTTAGTGGTTTAAAAAACGAGCTAGAAAGTAATTGGAAACTGTGTGTTTTAACAGTAGAGTGCCAAGGGTTTAATGCACCAAAGTCCCGTGATATATAAATTCGGTAAGTTAATCCCTATTATTTAAAAAATGCATCAAATCCCCCTATGTTATGTTTATTCATGCAGAGAAGTCTCTTCAAAAATAAATTTAACAATTTTTAAATCATTTATCTTAATATTATGAATAAATATGCAAGTAAATTTGTTAATATCGTTAAATTATACAAAAATACTAATTAATTTCGAGTTAATTGGCAATTAAATTTGTTTTTGGAGAGTGTTTTACGCGTGAATAATTACAATAAAGGGGGCTTTGATGCATTTTTTAAATCATAGGGCAATACGTGGAATTTATAAATCACAGGGGTTGGGTGCATTAAATCGTTTCATTAATAAGAGGTTTTTTGTTTTATTCTAATTAAGAGAAAATTTGGGAAAAGCTGGATAGAGTCCTATCCGAACCGGTTTATACAGGTTATTAAATACTCATGACTTATTGAGATTTATATGATGATGCTTTTTGAAATAAGTACGATGTTCCAAATTCTAATCCCATTCGATAAAAGTTTGTATATTATATTTCTCTTTTCGATTTTCGAAAAAATGTGTCACGTTTTCTTTTAATTAATTAATGTACCAATCAAACTTAGTGAAGAAAGTTTTATGAACGACATTGAAACTTTGATTTTCAAATATATTGTTACTTGGTACCCCTTCGTAATATTTTCAAATCTATTACCCAAAATTGCAAAAATATAGGGAGTACACTTTGTTTTGTACTCCATCTCCATTGCTATTTCCTTTGGAACCTTTGCTGAAAGGAAAAATTGTGAATATTCAACTTTAATAATCCAATTTTATACTCCGTATTTCCAAAGTCTCTATTCCAAAAACTGATGAGTATTATATATTTGATGCCTATTAAAGAAATTAAAAACATTTATGGTTGATATGGAGCCCGTTTGATTATTCTATTTTCCGGTTTATGAGTCAACTTTTTTACCAAATTCATAACTTTTAATTTCGCGTGCTGAAATTATGTAATATTAAGAAAAAATAAGATCCAAGTTACTTTTGTGATTGTATTGGTTGAAGTTACTGTAGATAACTATTTTAGCTATTTTCATATAATGTTTTTCTTTATTTTATTAAAAAAATATACTTTAAAAACAATTTATTCATAAATCAGTAGAACCAGTTAATACATACAGTTCAATAATAAATTCATAAATTTTAGCAGCTTAAGCCGATTTCAGTGTAACTAAACAGACTCATAAAATCTTCTAAAAAAACGGACTCATAATATGTACTCCCTCCGTCCCTTATAACTTGGCCAACTTTCCTTTTTGAATGTCCTACTAACTTTGCTATTTTCTCTTTTAAGTAAAGAATTTGTGGTTCCAATTAATTGTCTCTCCTCTGCACAAACCTTAATCACACAGTTTTTACTTTATTAATGTCTATCGGTCAAACTTGACAAAGTATTGAAGAAGTGAGGGAGTACGTAGTAAAAGATTAGTTGACTGTTTTAGTTGTAAAATTTACTAGTATATACCTGTACTCTTTATTTATTGAATAACTTTGGAGTTAATAATGGCGAGTGATTCTAAAAAAATGGCGAGTGATTGCGTCCCGTTTCTGCACTTGTGTTCTTTTGAACAGGTAAATGATCCTCCGAGTGAGAATGTGAATAGAATCTTGATCCACGAAAGGGGAAAGCAATTTCGTTTTATTAGAGATTGATTCATTTTTATATTAGATTTAAGCATAAATAATAAATTTCGACAAGTCTAACAGTAAAATACACATAAAATGAATGTATATCACATTAGATTAAATTAGATTCTATAATTTAAAATTTTGTTAATTCAATTAAAAAATCCATATGTTACAGACCTAAAATACTACTAGTATTTGATTTGAGATAAAACATGAAACCAAAAAGTGAAAATTCATTAAATAGGAGCAAAAAGTTGAAATTCCGAAATAAGACTGTCATTTTCTGTTCTCTAAATAAATAGGAGTAATTTCTTTCAACTTTGACATCATCAGTTTTTAAACATGGTAGTTTTTGCCATGTTTGAAAAAACATGGCATAAATTACTCATATTTGGAAAATATAAACATGAAGGTTCTATTTTGGAATTTGTTTTTACACTTATTTAAATTTCTATAACAAAAGCAAAAACATAATAGGGAGTAATATAGTTGTACTAATGGTAATATAAGTCACTCTCTCTATAATATTAAACACATGTTTATGGGAACTTTTTATTATTCAACCCTGTTTACATTTGGAGATTATTAGTTTAATTATTTATTCTATTTCATATTTTTCACGTTTTCTCCATTTTTCATTTAGTCGTTACGCTTTTTATCTTTGGACTTTTTTTTTCATGTCCTACTTTTATTAATTGTTATTGGTTACCATTTTTCTTTAGGCTACAGCCTGTGTGACACGGAGTATAACAGAAGAGTAATAATTACTTATACTTCCTCCGTTCTTAAATAAATGCAACGGTCAACATTTCACATTTGCCGAAACACAACTTTGATCATTAATATATATAATTTTATATTAGTAAAAAATAAAAAAAATAGATTTTGAAAATTTATAATGAGACAAATTTAATAATATTTTTTCATAAAAAATTATTAATACATTAATAAATAAAATGTAGTTAAAGTAGAACATGCGAATAGTGTAAATTTTCATATGTTGCATTTATTTAAGAACGTAAGTAGTATAAGTTATATTACGCTCTCTTTATTTAAAAGTTCATTATAACATGTTTAGACACATTATTTAAGGATGAGAAATAAATAATATAGAAAAAGTAAGAGATAAGATAAAAAAAAATATGAAAGATAAGATAGAAAAATATAAAGATAATTGAATATTTAAAAAAAAAACAATAAGACCAATAAAAAACCATTAGGCAATGTTGCGTGCAAAAAATTATCCGGATACGATAATGACCCTACAAAGCATTTTCTGGGTGGAGCCTTGGGACGAGGAGGGTCACAAGACCAAGAATTATTTGGATACGATGACTTGAGGTAGACATCGATTGATTGGATGTTTTGGTGATATTATGCTAATTTGATTTTGCTACTTCGCCTGGCCCAGATTGATCCGGATGCACCGTTCAACGGGGCGTTCACCAAAGGATCGCATGGGTGGAGGTGGGTCTCAAATGTGATCGGTGCGGGCGCAAGCTTCGGAATACTAACGTCGCTGTTGGTAGCCATGCTGGGTCAGGCTCGATACATGTGTGTTATCGGCCGTTCAGGTGTGGTCCCCAGGTGGTTTGCCAAGGTCCATCCCAGCACGTCAACGCCGGTCAATGCATCACTCTTTCTCGGTACGTACGTTGTTGGTTGCCTTTTTTTTAGACTTAATATGGTTTCCACGTCATTATTTAAAATTAAAGATAACTAAATCGAAAGAAAATTAAGAGATAATTTAAGGACAAAGCGTGATTTTAGGTGATTTGTTTTACATGATTGAGTAGCACTTTGGAAAGTAGTGACATGATTTTATAATGAACATTAAATGTTTTGTGGTATCATTATACTAGGCAATTATTTTAGACAATGTTGTGTTTTCTATGTTTGTTGTTGACTTATTTTAATCTTAGACAAAACTATAGGGAGTATCAAGTTTAGATGATAATAATAATAATAATAAAATATTCTCTAACATGTTCTTTTACTGGACTATAGGTCAAATTTGAATATTGAGACTAGAAAAATGAATTAAAATCTACCAAATATAATAGGTTCTCAAGTCACATGACCATATAATTTTCGGGTCGAAAGATGTTTAAGACGGACTGACCTAAGCTAGTCAAAACTTTCGTATGCCATATTTCCATTATTGAGGTTTATCCACTTCGACTGAATCAGTCGTGTGACCCATCTTGCCAGTAAAATTGCCCACTATACGTAGTACGCATTCAATTTAGTAATTGACGTATATACCCCCTCCATCTAAATGTTCAACTCCCTGTGATAACTTAGATTATTTTTAGAAAATAAAATTTAGATATTCAGAAACTATATCAAAATCGCTACAAAGCCTGTAAAAAATAATTCAATTTTTCATAAAATTTTGATATATAAAATAAGAGTTTAAGACTGATTTAAATTGATTCTCGAAAAGCAAAATGGAAATTCTTTTAGGACGGAGGGAGTATGTTTTTATTAAGGTGACAACTCCGGTACCCATTTAAAAAGGGGGTACCGTACCTACCACTCACATGATTGGTCCAAATCATTATATCATTTTTAATTTAGATTTAAATAATTCAACTGCAACATTTTGATTGGTCCAAGTAGACAAAAGTATGGTACCTTTTGGGTACCATATAATCTACCTTTTATTAATCCGCTGTAGCGTTTTCTACTTTTCTAATTCGTATTTTTTAATAATGTATTTTAAAATAGTTTTTCTTTCTACTTTGTCCATCATCTAAACATAAAAATACAACAACATCCAAGTTTTAATCCCAAAAGATATTGGGGTTGGCTAACATGAATCGATACATGATATCACCACCAAAAGGAAAAGAAATAAAATAAAAATAAAAAAGATAAGCTATTATGAAAAAGATAATATAAAAAAGATGAATATACCTAAAAATGATAAAATAAAAAGGATTAAAATAATGTTTATGTATAAGGATAAAAGGATTTAAAAAAACAAGAAAAAATAAATGAGGGGAAAAGATAATATGAGATCGCTCCTCCACATGAATACTCGCCCTTCATTTTGCTCTCTCCAAAGTCATACCCTCATCTAACCCAAGAAGAAACATATCACTTCGGACTCCCCTAATCCACGTCTATTTGGGTCTTCCTCTCCCTCTCTTCCCTGCCTCTTCTCCACACATCTCAACTCGTCTGACAGGTGCATCAATCGGTCTTCTACGCACATGACCAAACCACCGTAGGTGCGACTCCCACATCTTGTCTTTAATAGGTGCGACTCTCATGCTTTGTCTGATTGTCTCATTCTTCGCGTGGTCACTTCCTAGTATGCCCACACATCCAATGCAACTTGCGCATCTCCGCCACACTCATTTTTTGAATGTGACATTGTTTCACCGCCCAACATTCTGCGCCATACAGTAATGCAGGCATAATTGTTGTCCTATAAAACTTATTCTTCAGTCTAGTCGATATACCTTTGTCGCATAGAAATCCTGATGCACTCTTCCACTTCATCCACCTTGTTCTGATTCTATGGGATACATCTCCATCTAACTGACGAACATAATCTAAACATAAAAATAATTTTTGAATTATGGAGCGCAAGTAATGAACTGACGAACATGATCTAAACATAAAAATAATTTTTGGAAATAAGTAAATACGAGTATTACTTATCTTGTTTAAAACGGAAGAGGATCAAATTCCGGATATTGAGAAGCTTGAAATTAATTATCCGTGACGCTATCTGACTGTTGCGTATGACTCCGTATTATTTAGTGATTGCAGCAACCCCCTTTCTTTATAGTTGTGCACTAAATTTCGGCAGTGAGTCAATTTGGGTCGACTACGAACCGTTTTACTTTGCTTGTAACTTGCATTTACTCATTTAGCCTTTCCATGATCAATGCCCTTACACACAAATATGACACTACGCATTTGTGTCTTTGTCTCTTAGGGAGTATTTATTTATTTGTCATTTGACTCATTCTTAAAGTTTATATCAGATTTCCACTTTGAACTGATTAAAAAAATCCCAATTATGCAAATTTAATATTAACCATTCACCAATAGGGAATTGGGGATTTGGGGTTTCATTTGCAAACAAAAAGAAACGTGGGCGGCTAAAGGATTCAGTTTGTTCATAATCCAAGATAAAGGTGAATATTATTCCCATTTTTAATATGAAAATGTACAAATCAGCACTGATTGAATAGTAAAACATTTGGTCGGGAAGTGTTCTTTTTAACACGCCTTAATTACTGTAAAGAAAAACACGCTTTATTAATTAAAGAAATAAGGGGTTATATTCTTTTTCCTCTAAGAGAGAACAAAACAGGCCAAGTAGGTCATGCCCCTCTTTTATAATGCACACGTATATAATTATATAAATACTGATATTTACAATCTGGGCCGTTAACACGGCTCTATTGAACAAATAAAGAGAGGGAACAAAACAGGCCAAGTAGATCATGCATTCATGCCCCTCTATTTTTATAATGTACACGTATATAAATACTCATATTTCCAAAAACTTATCTCCAAAAGGATAATTAATGACGCTGTCATAATTAAAAAATATACGAGGATGAATTACCCTTTTTATCAACAAGCTAGTAATTTGTTTTTTTAAGTTTAGGTCCAGCTACTTTAAAAAAAAGTTTAGGTCCAGCTAGGCATATCATAGCCATTTATCGGGGGCCAACTAAAGAAAAGACAAAATAGAGTACCCTTCTTATGGTTTGAAAACGTTGCGGTGTCAATTCGCTAATCGTGCACTCAAACCTTTTCAATGAGTTTACTATATATATGTACACGACAATTGTTTATGGCTGTCAATTTTGGTCGTTTCAATATCTCTACTCTATAGAATTCTGCAAGTGGGCTGTCACAAACAAATACTGGAAGATGTAACGTGGATTTAAAGTTACAAAACCCAAATTTTGTTGTTATCCTAAAATTTGCAATGGTTCTACTAGACACACACAAATATGTTACTCCGTATTCAACATTTATGTGGTACAATCTGTCTGTCTGGTTAATCTTTGGATATCTCTAAGGGGTGTTTGGATCTGATTCTCAAAATTGATTCTGCTCCTTCAGGGAGTAGAAGCAGAAACTGGAGTGTTTGGGTGAAATTCCAGAAGCACTTCTGGTGCTCTAATTTACTCTCAGAATCAGTTTTTTTAGAAGCTGGAGGGTACCAACTTCTGCCCTCCAGCTTCTGAAAACTGATTCTGATTCTGCTTCTGCTTTAAAAAAGAAGCAGAAGCAGAATCAGTTCCAAACACCCCCTAAATCTCTATTACAACTACATACATTAGGTTAAGTTCATACATGTGAAATACTAATCATATACAAGTAGAAGAAGTAGTCCGTATATAGTTTCTACTTTTAGCAAGAAACCATAGTTCTCCTAGCAAGGGAGGATCTTAGTTTTTACACAACAAACAAAATGAAATTATAAAATAATACGTAGTAATAATAAGGATGTTTTACTCTATTCAAGTGGAATTTACTCTAGTTTTTGAAGTGTAAAATGGTCCAATTAAAGAGATCCTAACATTTTAAATAAAGTCTTGCCTAGATGAATCCAACCATTGGACAATCTGAAAACAACCTCTTTAAATCTAAATATACACTCTCTTAATATGAAAAAAACATATACGAAGTATATCACTTTGTCTGCTTAAATAATATATTCGACCTCATACTTATTAATATTAGGCCATCGTGGGATGTGATTTTAGACATATATCTAGATCGAAGAGGTTGGTATTTTGGTATTGGATTTCTTATTCCGAATGAATATTAATAATATATAAATGGAATGTATGAGTTGGGAGCTTTTGAGCATCATCTTGATTCCAATTGCTATTGTCTTGATTCCAATTGCTATTGTCTTGATTCCAATTGCTATTTGAAGGATTCTATTCAAAGATTTTGCTATCAGCTCAGATTGAAAACAGACTCTCTCCTGCTTTATTTGTTGACTATAATTAAAGAATGATTAACACTCCAAAAGGGGACCCCTATAAGATTTCATGCTAATATCTTCATTTGACTAATCCTTAGAATATCTTTTTTTTTCCTTCAATCTTTCAGGCGTTTTCACCGCAGTAATCGCACTTTTCACCGACTTACAAATCCTCCTAAACCTGGTATCTATCGGCACACTCTTCGTTTTCTACATGGTAGCAAATGCCGTGATCTACAAACGCTATGTGGCAGTAGGGACCACCAATCCATGGCCCACACTGTCCTACCTTCTATCTTTTACCCTCACGGCGATCTTGTTCACCCTTCTGTGGCACTTTGCTCGGGCGGGGAAGGCAAAGGCCTTCCTCCTCGGAGCTTGCATTGTCATCGCCATCTCCATTCTGCAGCTTTTCCAGTGGATGGTCCCACAAGCAAACAAACCAGAGTTCTGGGGCGTCCCATTGATGCCATGGATTCCTTCCACTTCCATCTTCCTCAATATATTCCTGTTGGGTGCCCTTGACAGTCCTTCATATGTCCGGTTCGGATTCTTTTCGGGTCTTGCGGTCATTGTGTATGTGATGTATAGCGTGCATGCTAGCTTTGATGCTGAGGAACAAAAAGGTCAAGAGAATATTGAGATGAAGGAATATAATGAAGCCCAGGGCAATTCCTCCAAGGTGTAAATATGACTTGTATTTAGTTTGGTTCATGTATTTAATTGACTAGTTGTAAGAATAGTAGAAGAGGAAGGTAACAAAAGAATCTCCGAATGTAACAAGTACTGCTCTTTTAATTTTCTATTGTCAACTTGTATAGTCTGGTTCAAGATTCCTATGTATATGGAATTGATCAAAAATGTATGAGAAATGCTTAGTGTACACAGCGTTTTACACGCTCGTGTACACGGCATATATACCTCCTCCGTTTTTTACCTTTCTTGTTCCTCTTTTTACCCGTCTCTCATCAAACCCCCAATTCTCACTCTTTCTTCTCCCCTAACCTAACGCACAAAATCCCCTCCCTCATTTTCCTCTCGCCTCTTGGCCTGTCAGATTTCTTCTCTTCTTCCTTTCTTGATTTATTGATAATGAAATAAAAGGGACATAGACATATGAAACAAAGGTAGATACCAACACGATGCTGAGTGACCTTCGTTAACATTTTTGGGGGTGCACCAACTCCATCGTCAAATTAAAAGGTGAGTCTACAATTCAAACTCCAGTTCTTAGATCTCATTTGTTTCTTCTTCCTTTCTTCTTCTTCATTTGCAGCTCATATTTAAAATATCTACTCAACTTTGAACTCCCTTTCAAGCATCATCATGGAGATTTTTTTGTCTCAAACCTTTGATTACTAGGGTCTAGGTTAACAATCGACTCATTTTTTATGTTCATATTGGATTAGTTTGTGATGTAAATATTGAAATTTGTTCCTTTGATATAGGTTTGTGATGTAGATATTTAAATTTTAGGTGAACTAGTTTCTTTATGTTTATGCCCATTACATATTTGTTAAAATGATTCAATGAATTTTTACAATGTTTATATATGTAATAGGGATGCAATGGGTTGCAGTAGCTTTTTTTATTTATAGTTTTGATGTTTTTGAAGGAAGTTTTTCACTGCTGCTCATCCAAAAACAAAATTGACTGTGTGTTTGAAAATTCACTTTAGTGCAAACAAAACAAACGAACAAGTTTTTGTCTGTATACGTAATTTCGACTGAAAAACTAAATTGTTAATCTTATACTCATTTTGGTGACTTCTTACATATAATTTACATAGAATCTATTATTAGATTTGGAGAAAATTGATGGAAATTATGGTAACCTTGAGATTATAAAAGAGTAATGGCTATGTTTGGCAAACAAAAGGCTATAGCTTCTAGCTTCTCTATTCTTTAAAAAGACCTTAAAAGACTCTAGTTGTATGTTTGGCATGACATTTTTTAAGAGCTTTTCAAAAATTAAAAGATCTTTTTTGATTAATTAAAAAGATCGTGACTTTTAGTATTAATTAGTCCTAACAGCTTGTATACCAAACCGAACTAAATCAAACAGTCAGCTTTTTACAAAATAGCTATCACCTTTCTTTTTAAGATCTTTTCAGTCACTAAAAGTTAACAGCTACTAAAAAGCTCGTAAAAGTATCTTTTTAGCTAGTTGTGCCAAACATATCCATAATATGAACTATGAAGAGATAAAATATTTGAATGTCATTCTAATTTTCTATGCAGCAGACTAGCAGAGAAGGAAATATAGACATATTTTCCTATTACAATCTTCCTTGATTGGGAATGATTCTAGATAATGCTCATCTTTCAATTTAATTTTAATATCATGTGCCATATATACTTCTCTCAATACACAGATTTCTGCATTACAAGGATTAGCTTTTTGTGTTAAACGTTTGTTACCATTCCTTATTACTAATGTTAATATAAATATTTACTATAGTATTATTGTTCTGTTGATTATCACTCCCACTGTACCTATTCAATTTACCCCGTTGAGCTATGCCTTGAGTTTAAGAAAAGGAAATTGTGTGGTTGAGATTTATATTAATAGAAATTATGGATGTGTACAATTCCATAACAGGTTTTGGTTGCTAAATGTTGCTAAGTCATGATAAAATTGATTTGCAGAACTCCACCAAAAAACAGGTTCTGGTTGCTAAATCTTGTGCCCCTGTTTTTGGTGAATAATCTGCCCAGGCAGCCTCCAGTCCCCCTTGCCTCCAGAACCGACAAGCATGGAGGAATGCCCCGACGGTTTCGTGCAGGTCCAAAACAGGAAATAAAAGGGCAGTGCCTATAAATCAATTCGAGAGGATCCTCAACTATACTATGAGGTGGGATACGCTTCCCACCCCATGGTCACAAGAAGTCACTCCAAGAAACCTAGAGATGAAACCGACTACTCCCTATACCCGGTAGACGCAGATTCGACTCCAAGAAATTTCAATAGCTAATGTATCTTTATTTTATATGTACCTTTTCATTCAACCATGTATCTTTAAAACTCTTGTAAAATAAAGAAGTGTTCCTCGGCACTTCCCCCGCCTAGAGTGGTTTGCTCCGGGATCCAAATAAAATGGATGTGTAGAAAATGTTGTAATACAGAGTACTATTTCTTATGTTTGCTTTCCCTTTTAAGAAATTATGAAAGCACCAACATTCATATCACGCACAGACAAAATAAACGAATACACAGACAACGTTAATTGTTTATACACTCGAAAAAAACGAATACACAGACAACGGTTATTGTCTATGCACAAACAAAGTAAACAAACAACAGACAATGTTTTAATCATGCACAGACAATATAAACAAAGATATACGATGTTTTGATTACACACAGACAAAATAAATGAACACACAGACAATACTTTAACCACGCACACTGAATATAAATGAAGACATAGACGATGCTTCGATTACGAACAGACAAAATAAACGAACACACAGTCAATAATCTTCATGTTGAAAAGCAACGGTGTAAGATTCATAGCATCAATAAAATTAGGTTGAGTAGTGTTGTAAAATCTTGTGGAAAGAAACCCTTTAAGGGTAAATTTACTTGATCAAGAAGAATTGTTTGTCTTTGTACGGATAACTTTTATATATGTGTTGTCTGTGTGTAGACAATTTCTATACAAGTTTTGTCTATATATAGATGGTTTCTAAATAAATTTTAAGGTGAATTGTGTGAAATGTGTGTGATACAGACAAAAACAATGTATGTGACATACACAAAATAACTTGTCTATGACACAGACAATTCACCTAAAAAAACGAAAAAAAAATGTTTGCACACAGACAAAAAGTTGTTACACGCTATATAACACTCCTTTTATTATAGTTAACTATAGGGGGATAGTTATCTTTGTCATCTATCACTTCTTTTCATGTGTTGCATGTCCTAAGATGTACACAATGTATACACGGCTTATTTTGACCGTGCACAATTTTTTTCGTTTTAAAGTGAATTGTCTGTGACACCGACAAAAAAAATTGTATGTGGCACAAACAATTTATTGTCTGTGTCACAGACAATTCACTTTATGAATGAAAAAATTGCTTAAAGGGTTTTTTAAATTTAACATGTGGTGAATTTAAAACGTAATCCATCAACCTTAAAGATTTTTTCTACGTATTTCTATCACACTGCCAAACAATTCTACTTGACTGTGTGTCCATTTATTTTGTTTGTTCATATTCAAAGGCATTGTCTATTCATTTTTATTGTCTGTGTGTGGTTAAAATATTGTTTGTATGTTCATTTATTTTGTCTGTTTATAGTTGAAACATCAAATGTCTGTGTATATTGTCTGTGCATGATTAAAGCATTGTCTGTTGTTCATTTATTTTGTCTGCGCATGAACAATAATTGTTGTCTGTGTATTCATTTATTTTGCATGTGCCTCACAAAATTCAAACAAACGGGAGGACTATGAATAAGAATTAGATAATATGTATTGAATAAACTCATTCAAACATTTATTGAGCATACAAATGAAATATAACACTTTGACAAGAAATTTTGTGCACCTAGGCTTATTTGGATAATCTAAAAATAAATAAGCCTGGGCATACAAATAAATAAACTCATTCAAACTTATAATTTAGATTAGATAATCTAAAATAAATGAAACTATACTTAATTAATTTAAAGAATCAAACTATACTTTTTTTATGTTGATACCACCAACAACAATACTTCTACTAGCAACAACGTTGCTTTTCAATCATCATCACTCCTCTCCTCTGATCGGACAACGACAATAATGAAGTAGGATCCTGAAATGTGTGAATTCTTAGCAATCCTTCCCCTCAACAACTCCACACCTGTGTCAAGTAAAAAGCAACTGAGTGCCTAAATGTGGTGGAAGCAATGAAAGTGAAATTCTCAAAGCTATTACTGCGGGAGGACATAACAGGGGAAGCAATGGGATTAAAAAATTAGGACTGGGACAGAACAATCCCCAAAGAAATACAATTTTTTGGATTGAAAATTAAAAGTACAAATGTGATTCAAAATATAGCTAGTTTCAATCACCCATTTTACATATTAATACATGGAATCATTCATCAATGTAAACAAACTACCAAAAGCATAATAATATTATAAAATAATCAATACATATAACTACGTAGTATATCATTACTTAAATTGGGAACAAGAAAATTTGAATCTTGAAGTAATTATGAAAAAAGAAGAACAAAAGTTTTGAATTAGAACAAAAAATTCATTGAGTCATTTCAACAAACATGTTATGAGCATAAATGTAAAATAAAGTAATTGAACTAAAACTTCAATAACTAACACTACCTTATGTTACAATAATACAAAACAGACAACTATTTAATGTTATACCATACATAATATACAAAAAAATGGAATTTTAAATATATAAAATCCTAATGATAATAGATTAGGATAACTATAAAATGAATATAGAAAAATTGAAACAGATTATTACCTTAATGTTAATGTTTAGGCTAGATCGGCCGGAGCTTCTTGTTTGAGCGGCTCAAATCAACATTTCATCCTCGTCGTTGGCATCGATTCCAGCTGCAATTACATCATTCACGTTGGATTCGGACTTGAAGGCAGATTCAAGGTGAGGTGAAAGAAGACAAGTTCGGACTTGAGCGGACCGAATTGAAAAGGTTTTCTTTCAGTTAAGAGTGAAGAAACTAGAAGGAAAAAATGAAGCAGAGAGGTCTGCGGATAAGAGAAGAAATCTGAAGGCCAAGAGGCGAGAGGAAAAAGAGGGAGGGGATTTTTTGCGTTAGGTTAGGGGAGAAGAAAGAGGGGGAATTTGGGGGTGTGGTAGGAGATGGGTAAAAAGAGGAAGGGGAAAGGTAAAAATGGGGAAGTATATATGCCGTGTACACGAGCGTGTAAAACGCTGTGTACATAGCGCATTACTCAAAATGTTCTTATCTTTCTCTGTTCCTCTTTTCCTTGCTAGCAAAAAACATCATGTCATGTTTTAACGTAGATCGATACAATAAATTAATGGATGCTGTTCTTTTTGGTATTGGTGATTTTAATTATAATAATGTACACCGTACTTTTTACACGTATTTTAAAAAGTTTGGTAATGCTTTAATTTCAAGATATACGGAGTATTATACTGTATGTCTTGAATTCTTTATGAATCATTTATGAATCACTAAGGGTCTGTTTGCAACAACTTCTGCTTTTAAAAAAGTGTTTTTTAATGAAATGGGGAGAAGTGATTAAATAAAAGTTGATAGTGTTTGAGAAAAAAGTGATTTTGAAAAGTAAAAGTGGGTACTGTTTGGTAAAATAAGTGTTTTTTGTGTAATAGAAAAAGTAAAAGTACTTTTGACGCGGAAGCCGAGAAAAATAAAAGTTGTAGTGTTTGGGAAAATAAGTGTTTTTTTAAAGCCAAAAGCTGAGAAGTATTTTTTTAAAAGGAGTTGCAAACCAATTATAAATCAGCATATCAATTCAATTCCTTAAAAAAAACATCAATTCAATAACGAGGGGATCGACAATACTATCAGAAAACAACTGTTTTAAATTTCAACGATATAAATTAGATTGTCCAGATGTCTAGACTTTAGAATAATACGGAGTATCATGTGAAGTACTCGGTATTGTTTTGTGTATTTCCTTTCCGTTACGTCACTTTGATATTGCGGGTTGTTGGATTTAATTATGTCTTATTAATTAATCTTAAAATTAATGACCACATAAATGTTATACATACAATGGTTAATGTGGGGCTTGAGTATGGTGGATTAATAAGGCAAATTATATCCTATAATCGACTGTACAATGATCACGGTACAGTCAATTTTTTTTGTGACAGTTGCAATTCGCTCATCACCATTACATAGATGGATAACTCCGTCAACTCACCACTCATATCCAGGTTCGCCGATTGCACCTCAGAGAGACGGCTCACCGCTCGACGTAGACTCGGTGTTCGCATTCATACGTTCCGACATTCATCTTGCACCAGATCTCATGCTTGCGGCTCATCTGGCATGTCAGATTGGAGTTACTCACGACCAAATTGAAACTTTTTCACATAGTCTCAAAGCTCAATAGTAGAAAACACGATACTCAATGAAAATGTGTTGATCCTTAATACAAAGTCTCAATGCTCAATAAAAATGCTTGATCTCACAATTCAAATGATCAATAGTAGAGAGCACGATACTCAATGGAGATGTTTTGATTCTCAATGCAGATTCTAATGTACGTTCAAGGAAGACATTTGATCACATAGTCTCAATGCTCAATAAAGATGTTTTGATGCCCAATATGTTTTGAAAATTTCACACTCAACTGCAGAGTTCAAATGCTCAATAGGAGAGACTTGATGGTCCATGCAAATATCTTGATGCACAAGTAACAGAATTTATGATCTTCATATCATGCAGAGCTCCATTTATTTTTATAACAAAGTTACTAGTTATATAAACGCGCGATGCGCGATAGGTTAATGCCCAATTCCAAATTCTATGTGGACATTAGTTTTTATAATATATATAACATAAGAGTATTACCTGTATTACAATGCCAAACTTAACAGAGAGACTTTAGTGAAAATTAGAATCATTTTAAAGGGTAGAAAAAATTATGTAGTATTATTTAGTGGAAGAAGTGGAATGGACATCCTAATTGCTAAGCAAGATTAAAATGGAATTCTTTAAAATGAACTTATTTAGTGTAAAATATTCATGATGAGATAGAATAATTTCATAGATTAAATACAAGTGAGGCTAAGATCTATTAAGATATTGAGTGGAGTCATAATTTTTTGTGTAGGATCCCAAGATATAAGAGAAAACAGGAAAGTTAACACCTTTAGGAAATGCTATTAATTGGGTTACATAATGGAAGGTAGAATCTTGAGCGTAAGCCAACAGCGAATGTAAAGTTAGCAAAAGTGAATGCATAGTTAATTAAACTTTGCTCAAGTGAAAATAAAGATGACAGTAGATTTATGTGATGAAGATTGTATGAACTTGCCTCACGTAGCAAACCCCATTAAGAATTCATGAAACCAAACAAACTTAGACGAAGGAATCAAGGCAATCATAATGGGAAGAATTGCAGCAAGCCACACTGTTTTCAACACAGTGACC